TCCTCTTCTCTACAGGGCAGCCCTGGGTTTCCTGCTCTGCCCTCCACAGGTGTCCTCCAGCCAACGGCACCACTCTCATCACCAATGTCACTTTGGGTTCTACCTATACCTGCTCTGCAGTAGCTTCCTCACTGGTCCCCTACCTTTTGGATCTTGCTTTTCCAGTCTAGTGACATCATTGCCAGAGTTTGCTTCCTAAAATGTAATGGGTCACAACACTCCTGTCCCCAAGTCCACGGGCTCTTCACTGTCTTCAGACTGAAGTGCACCTGCTTCCACACAGCGTTCAAGAGCCCCGCCCACCTTCCACCTCCACTCACCTTGCAGGTCCCCCTCTCCCTCACATGCCTCGGACTCCTTCCACTCACTATGCCCTACATGCACCATTTGTTTACCCAGCGAACAACTACCAGGTGCCTCCTGTGTGCCAGGCACCAGGCTGAGCAACGGCACCAGAACAAGTAAGACATTAACTCTGCCCTCAAGGAGCTCTGACTGTTGATACAGTTCTGAAAAGCAGTCAAGATAATGAATGTGACAAGTACTGGAATAAAGATAAAAAGCAAGGTGTGCTGGGAGCTGAGGGGGAGGGGTGGAGGAGGAAAAGAACATTAGAGAGGGTTCACAGAGGTGCTATAAATTTGGTCTGTGTTGGTGTGTGTGGCGGTGGTGGTGGGAGGAGAGGGTAATCTCTTCCACGGTGCAAAGTGCAGCTCAGGGTGGGTCCGATGACTTGGAGAAACGGTGAATGGTGGAAACTGGCACATATGAAAGAGGGTGTTTGGGGACAGTTTTCAGTAGTGTGTGACATTGATGATCAGATGCGGGGGGATGGAGGACAGGTTAGAGGGCAAGGAGGGAAGAGGAGGGAGAGTTGGTCAACTGTCCAGGCAAGGAGGGAAGGCATAGGATCAAGGTACAGGTAATAGCCCGAGAATATAAAAGGGACAGAGGTGAAAAGACAAGGACAAGGATACGAGGGGAGGGGGGATAGCCACTGTAATATATTATATATCTGGGGTTTCCAGAATGGCAATTCCATCAGTGGAGAGAGAACAGAGGGAGGGGCAAGCTTGTTGTAGATGACCTTAGTTTTAGAAAAGTGGAATCTGGGGATCTGGTGGGTTTCGAAGGGCATGCATGGGGAGTTCTCCAGTGGACAGGGGGAAGCTTAGAACTGGGAAGGGAGGCAGGGACTGAAGATTCAGAGTTGAGAAGTAAGTTGGAAAAATTTGTTTATCCTTTGACCCAGAAATTCTTAAGAATTTCTCCTAAGGATATAATTAAAGATGTGTATGAAGATTTATCTACAAAAATGCTCATTGTTCAGAACAGTAAAAGAGTGGAAACTTTTGATAAACTGTTCTGACAGTGAAAAATATCTAACAGTAGGGGGTTAAATAAATTATACTATATTTTTGCAATGGAATTCTGTTCAGACAATAAAGTGAGTGCTGTAGATGAATGTTTATTGACATGAAAAAATGTCCACAATTTTTAAGTAGAAAAAAGCAGATTCTAAAGCTACTGGTAGAGTAACATCCTACTTTTTGTTTAGGAAAAAAAATTAAGATGTTAATGGTTTTTCTAGGTATGATTATGAATGCTTTTTTTTTGTTTCCCTACATTTAATCACACAAGGCTTTTGTTAAAATATAATGGTTATTTAAAAAATTGAATGAAATGAAAAGGAATGACCTACAGAGGGCACAGGGAGTGAGAAGGTTCAAGGGTGGGGCCTGAGCACCTTGATGCATCAGTCCCTGCAGCTGCCTGTCCCTGAGCCCCTCCCCCAGTATATCTGCTACACGGCTTCGTGGTGAAGTTCAAGTGGCAGGCTGCCGACTGTGGGCCTTGGGCAAACTCTTTGATTCTCTAATTCTGTTTTCTTGTCTTCATAGAGAGAATAACATCTTCCTCAAAATGGTTACATGACAATAAAATATTTACACACAGTAGTTGCTTGATAAATATTAGTCTATCTTCCCTTTTTTCTTACCCATTCTTCCTTGCTCACCCCAGGTTTGACCTCCAGTCTTTTTTGGCCCTCACAGTGGGAATTAATGCCTCTTCTCTCTGAGCCCCTTAAATGCTTTATTTGAACCTCTACTGAACACTGACTGAATTGTTCTCTGAACTGAGTTAGTGGCCAGCTGGTCTCCCCCAGCTGTAGCCAGAGTTGGGCCATCTATCCCTGTCAAACCTAGCACACAGGAGGTGCTCTGGGAATGTCTGTTGACTAAATTCATGGTGCTTTTTATGACTTAGCTAATCATGGATTCCCCAAAGGCCGGATTCCTCAAGGGTTAGTTTATTCAGATCTCTTGGAATTTTTCTCCTCCCAATTTATATCTCTGGCAAGGTTTATTTTCCAATCTGCAAAAAGGTGAGCAGCAGGGAGACAAAGGGAAGCTCCCTCAACCCTATCGGCTCTTCGTCAGAAGCTCTGCAGAGAACTGGAGGATGAAGAGGAGTCAAGAGAAGGTTGTTTCTCTCCCCACCAGTAGAGGTGTAGTTCCCTCACGTTCTCAGCGCTCAGACTGCCAGAACTTCCATCAGGACAGCTTAGGGCCAAGAGGAATCAGATAGGTGTGTCACTCCACAGGCTTAGGTCCTCTTTGACCCGCAGTAAACTCCTTTCCACTCCTGACTCTTTGTCGCTAGCGCTCTGCAGGAGTATTGGGTCGTTTTCTGCTCGCTCCCTGGTCCCCACTCCAGCGGAGGTTCCACTTTGCCCTGGTACGCATCCTTCCCGATAACCCCTAATATGTAGGGGATGCAATGTGGTGCTAACAAAAGATCTTTCGGTTGCAAGTCAGGAGACCTGTGTGACCGCGGAAAGTTGATTAAGCTCTTAGAGCCTCAGTTTCCGCATCTATAAGCTGGGAATAATCACAGGGGCCCGTCCCCGGTCACATCCCAGGGTTACTGAAGGGAAGCAAATGAGATAAATCAAAAGCATAAAGTGACAGAGCGCTCGCTCTACATAAACTCCAGGTGTTCCTAGTACTGTCTGTGGGTCTCCCTCTCCATAACTACCCACCAAAGCAGTCCTGTCCGCCCCGCCCTGGCTGCAGCGGCCTCACCCACTGCATCTCCATCTTTTCCGTCATTGTCTTTCTGCTCCTCAGAGATCCTCGGTCTCCCCATCTCCCCCGTCCATTTCTGGGTCCGGCTCTTGGGCCCCTCGAGCCTCTTCGGAGGCTGTGGTCTCCGACTCCCTGCGGCGGTCACTGCCCGGAGGCCCCCCCGCCCTGTGCGCCCTCCTTTAGCAAGGCCACCAGGCCAGAGAATCGCCCAATAAGAGCGCTGGACTCAAGTCTGACAGCTAAGGAAGTGGCCAATCGAGCCGGGCCAGGGAAGGGGGGTGCAGTGTTGGGGCTGAAGTTGGGTTGAAAGGGGGGGGCGATTAAAGGGGGATACAAAAGAGGGGAGATAGAACTGAGGGTACAAAAAAAAAAAACCCAAGCGGCGGGGTTGGGGGCGGGGAGGAAAGGACCGAACGCCGCCCAGGTCTGGCCAAGAACCGCGGGTTGGACGCGGCTCCAGGACCCAGGAAGGGAGGGGGCGCGACGAAAATTTTAGGTGAGGTAGAGGATATGGGCCCCCTGCAGCCCCCGGAGCCCTGCCTGAGGATGCCCGCGGGACGCCCTGGCGGGGGCAGCGGCGGGACCAGGGGCGGAGGCCACCCCAAGTCGCTGTGAGCCGAGTCCGGAGCCGCGCGGGGGGCGGGGAGGCGGCGGGAGGAGGGGATGCGGAGGGCGCTCCCGCGGCGGCGGCGGCGGCGGCGGCGGCAAGCAGGCGAGCAGGGAGGAGCGGCGCAAGCGGCCGGAGCGGCTCAGGGCCCGAGGCGTGCATGGCGCGCACTGCGCCAGGCTCCCGCGGGCGCCCCCGGAGCGCAGCGGCTCCTGGGCGGGCCGCTACCGGCCGGTTGCCTCTGAGTCCCGGCCCTCGATCTCCGGATGCCGTGCTCCCGGGCAGAAACCCGCCTGCGTTGGGGCAGGACAGCGGCGACGCTGCGCCGGATTCCGCCCTCCACCTAGTCCTTCTGCACCCGGCCGCGGTGGGCCGCAGCCGGCTGTGAAGAACCTGGAGCTTTCGGAGTCGGCGCGACTGTCCTCCTGGGCCGGCGAGTCCCGGCCAGCCTAGCTCCGTTTTGGGAGAAGAGGGACATGAGAAGGGAAGGGCCGCGCCGCAGGAGCCAGTCCTCGCCTCCGCCCCCTGCGCGGACGCCCTGAAGGCTCGGCTCGGCTTTGGTTGGGGCACGCTCCCACTCTCGCGGCGGGAGGTGGGGGATGCGGACGACGCCCCCCCTCCCCCCCGGGCTCCAGGACCCTCCCCCCCGGGCTCCGGAGCTGTTGCTCCGCCTGCCGCCCCCTCCCCCGTCCTCTCCACCCTCCATCCCACCTCCCCACCCCTCGTAAGAAAATAATGCTGGCTGGCGCTCGCACCTCCCAGTCGCTCCCAGTCCGCTGCAAGGAAAGGGCATCCGCTAGGTATTCACGCCGGGACCCCTGCCTAGCCGCTCCAGCCACTGCCGAGCCGCCTGTGCCGCTGGGCTCTGCCGAGGTATAATCTGCTAGCACCGCGTCCGGGCATTGGCAGTCCCGGGGAGGCGCCGCCTGCAAGGACATCTCTCCGTCCCGTCTCGTCCGCAACTCTGGTCCTTGTCGAGCTCGACGCGAGCCAGGAGTCCGGACGTCTCTCTGCGCTCGGCGCAGCAGCTCGACCAGTCTCTTGTTGCCACAGCTGGAAGCCAATTCCATCTCGGACCTGGGACTCCTGACGCGGACTCTCACTCACTTCTCACCTCGGGGCTGTACCTACCTCCCACCTCGCCCTCCCTCTCTCAGGACGGGGGTGCCAAGATGCCCCGCTGCTGCGCAGGGCCCCGGGCCGCCACCGACGTGTGACCCCAGCCTGGTCCCCCTGCTCGGCCGTCCGCCCTCCCCTTGGAGACCCCCGGCCCGGCCACCGGGGGAGGAGGAAGAAGACGACGAGGCCGAGAGGGGGATGTCCGATTCCAAAAGCGTGAGCCCCCCGGGCTACGCGGCGCAGACAGCCGCGGCGCCGGCGTCACGGGGAAGCTCGGAACACCGTTCGGCGTGGGGAGCGGCCGATTCCCGCGCCAATGGGTACCCCCACGCCCCTGGGGGTTCGGCCCGCGGCTCCACGAAGAAACCTGGGGGGGCGGTGACCCCGCAGCAGCAGCAGCGCCTGGCCAGCCGCTGGCGCAGCGACGACGACGACGATCCTCCGCTGAGTGGCGACGATCCCCTAGCCGGGGGCTTCGGCTTCAGCTTCCGATCCAAGTCTGCCTGGCAGGAGCGCGGCGGCGACGACTGTGGCCGGGGCAGTCGCAGGCAGCGGCGGGGCGCGGCCGGCGGGGGCAGCACCCGGGCGCCCCCTGCGGGCGGCGGCGGCGGCTCGGCGGCCTCAGCAGCGGCGGCTGGCGGGACTGAGGTGCGCCCCCGCTCGGTGGAGTTGGGCCTGGAGGAGCGGCGAGGCAAGGGCCGCGCGGCCGACGAGCTGGAGGCCGGCGCCATCGAGGGCGACGAGGCGTCCGGAGATGGCGGCAGCTCGGCGGGCTCGGGCGCGGGCCCCGGCGCGGTGCTGTCGCTGGGCGCCTGCTGCCTGGCGCTGCTGCAGATTTTCCGCTCTAAGAAGTTCCCGTCGGACAAGCTTGAGCGGTTGTACCAGCGCTACTTCTTCCGTCTGAACCAGAGCAGCCTCACCATGCTGATGGCTGTGCTGGTGCTCGTGTGCCTCGTCATGCTGGCCTTCCACGCGGCGCGACCACCGCTCCAGTTGCCCTACCTGGCAGTGCTGGCGGCCGCCGTGGGCGTGATCCTCGTTATGGCGGTGCTCTGCAACCGTGCCGCCTTCCACCAGGACCACATGGGCCTGGCCTGCTATGCGCTCATTGCGGTGGTGCTGGCTGTCCAGGTAGTGGGCCTGCTGCTGCCTCAGCCGCGCAGCGCCTCGGAGGGTATCTGGTGGACGGTGTTCTTCATCTATACCATCTACACGCTGCTGCCGGTGCGCATGCGGGCTGCGGTACTCAGCGGGGTGCTCCTGTCTGCCCTCCACTTGGCGATAGCCCTGCGCACCAACGCCCAGGACCAGTTCCTACTCAAGCAGGTAGGGGCCCACCTAGCCACAGGGACTGGACTGAGGGGCCTGCAAGGTTACAGACAGACATCCACCCTCCTCTTTTTAAAGTGGTGCAAAGGGCAGAGAGACATGGCTGTGCCATCTGTGTGGTGTCTTTCAGCCTCTAAACCCGCTCTCAGCCCCAGCATTTTCACTAAAGGGGTGCCTTTGTATTACATTTAGTGTTCCTGGCCCCGTAGAAGACTTGCACTAAACCGTCGTCTTTATTGTAGCGATAAGAATGAGAAAGGATGTGGAGAGTTCCCGTCTCTTCCTGTGCTTCTGTCCTCGTATACGTGTAAAGGCCCCTGACAAAAGTAGCTGGACCCTGGAGCAGAGTCTCCCTCCCTAGAGCCGCTGCTCCTGTGCTAAGGGAGTTCTGGATGACGGGCTGAGGAGAGGAGACCCTGGGCACCCTGGGCACAATCTTAAGGAAGAGAAACTATAACCCTTCCTGCTGTCTGTGGCTGGGACTGACAGGTTACAAAAGTGTCCCAAGCTAAAAAAGCTGCCACCAACAAAGGTAGGAAGGAGCCTCTGAGAGGTGTGTGATGGCAGTCCCCTCCTTGCCTAAGCAGAAAGCTGTTGGACATCGTGACTCCTTCCTGTTGGTGCTCCTGGTTCTAGCTTGTGGTGGGAGCTTTTTATCCCTGCTGGGACTGGTTGGGCAATCCTAGAATGGTGGGCTCAGGAGGAGATAAAACTTTGTTAGCAGGTGACTCCACTGAAGGGCTTTGGGAGAGGGGTGTACTCGCCATCCTCACCTCAGGGTGAGACCAGCTACTCTGACATGCACACCTCCCTTTGGCAGTCCCCTTTGTCTGGGGCTCCATGGACCTCCTCCAGCGACCCCTGCTGAGCCCACTGGTTTGCATGTAGCTCAGCTGGGAGAGAATCAAGTGGGCCCTTGTTGCAGGGTGGTCTTTTGACCATGGACCCCCACTGCAGCCCTCTGAGGGAGTTTGCCTCTGTAGAACTTCTTAACTACATTCCATTGTCCTTGCTCTCCTGCTCCCCACCTCTCATGCCTTTCTCAGGCTATGATCCTGTTGAAGACGACCTCTTTCTGGAGGGGCTCTCTTGTGCCCCCAACTCTCACCTCGGGAATAGCACCAGTATGCACTTCGGGGTGCTGGGCTCTAGCTGCACCTCCAAAGTGCCCTGCGACTGGGAAAGAGGGGACCTGCAACCTCTTTGGGCCCCGGGTTCCTTTTTTAGAAAATGAGAGGATTGTGTGAGCCCCTTACAGTTCCACCCTCCTCTGTCTGCCTGCTTCAGGCCTCACCTCCTGCAGGTAGCCCTCTTCCTTTCCAATCATACTGGCCTCTTCCTCTTCTGCTTCATAACTATGGAGTTGGAGCCACAGACTGGAGCACTTACTGTTCTCCAGGATCCATTGGTTTTGCTCCCCGTCCAACGTAAGCCCGGTGGACTGAGGAATGCTGAGTTATACGCGTTGTTTTTCTCCTCTATCCTCCCTTGCCTAGCACAATGAAGGGTACATAGGGATTTAATAACTGTTACCAATTTGGCTGGATTTCAAAGAATGGAGTAGGTGGGGTGGTTAGTGCTAAGTTGAAGTTTTTCTGATCTGGGATCAGAAGAAAAACTTTAGAGATCAGTTTTGAACTTAGGAGAAACCAATGGAGAGGTGATGGTTAAAAAAAAAGTTAACTACTATTGTTAGTGCTTTAAAGGCTTCAACTGTTTTGACCCGAGGACCCATGCTGTCACATGGGTGCTGTATCTTGGGGGTTGTTCCTAGCTTGGGTGGGTGTTGCTTTTCTGCAGGGGAAGGGCATGTCATCCACACAGAGCAAGATGGATTTCCAGCGGCGTTCAGGATATTTGCTAAACCGGACTTGGGGTGCAGGGTCTGATCACAGCTGTAGCAATCCTGCGAGTACGATTTCGAGAGGGTGGAGTCGGGTCCCAGGGAAGTGGTGCTGAACCCAGGCTGCACGGCTCCATCTTGGTGTGAAAATGCCGTTGCAGCACCAGTGTCTGTCCGACTTTTCCCTTCTGGCTCCTCAGGCTGGTTCTTCTCCTCTCCCCACCTCTGCCAGTCCCTGCACCCAGCTGCTTCTGTCCACTGCAGTCTTCAGACCTTCACCTGGGCGTAGACTTTTGGGTGGTTTCACATGTCACTTCTCAAGACCTCCGTCCCTCCCCTGAGTACAGCAGAGCTTGTCAGGAATGGTCTACTGCACAGGAATGCAGACAGTGTTCCTTTTTGGCTTCAGAGAAAACTGCATCTTTTTCTTTGTATTTGATTTACCTGTCTGATTATGTCTGATATAAAATGTGTATATCTTGAGTACACCGTACTGGGGGATGTAAGTGGGACAGTCCAGCATTAACGTCTGCCTGGCATCACCCCGGAGCGGCAGGCACTTGAGGATGGCCCGGGTGAGATGCCTAGTTCTTTCATGTTGACGAGGGCACAGGTCCAGGGAGGTGGGGCAGCAGTGCCTGGTTTCTAATGTCAGGGCTCTGGGAAGTCCCATCCACAGTGTCATGGACACGTAGTAGGCCCTCAGGAAACTATTGGCATTTCTTCCCTTCTCCTCCTGCGAGGCTGGCGCCTCTGACCTGGGCACCTCACTGTTCCCAGCCCCTCTTCTGTTTGGAGCTCTGCCTTGTCCTCCAGTTAGGAGGAGAAACATTTGGTTTCTCACCGGCTGCCTCCTGATGATTTTTACCGAATAAAGGAGGGGAGGCAGGGAGGGGCGGTCCTCTTTGAGGGATGTTTTCCTCTTCCTTTCCGTACATCTCTGGCTCTAGCTCTGGCTCTAGCTCTAGCTCTAGCTTTAGCTCTAGCTCTAGCTCTTCCCCTGGCTTCTCCCTGCCTCTCTCTCTGGTCTTTCTTTCTCACTTCCTTTCTCTCCCCTCCCCCTCCAGTCCCCTGTTGCTCTCTGCCTACCTCTCCTCTCCTCTCTCTGCCAGCCTGCTCTGCTTCCCTTCTCTTTTGCTCCATCTGCACCCTCTCAGCCTCTCCTCTGTGCTCGTCTCACTGTCGGCTCCTTGGTGGGGTACAGTAGGAGCATCACGCGGTTGTTTTTTTCCTCCTGCTTAGCGTGTTACAAGTCCCTCTGCTACACCCATACCATAAATAACACTGGAGCATCTGCCAAACACATTCCTCACTTGTGTTAATAGGCTGCGATGATGCTGGAGCCTGTTGCCATGGCGACCTCATTTTTGTTTGACTGTATCCCACTCTGCTACATAAAACCACTGCATGCACTCACAAGCAAGCACGGTCACACAACTATTACATATGCTTAGCTATTAAAGATTATTTTGGAGAAAAAAATCTTTGGGCCTTGTGAGGGTAGGTGGTCATTTGGCCAAGGAGATGAGCATTTTCTGCTGTCCAGTGTTACTTTAGGAGGTGGTAATGGGTGGAAGAGCTCTTGGAAAAGTAGAGAGTTCTGTTCAGTGTGGGGTGCTATTGTTCTACAGCCCCTTTAAACCTGCCTGACGCGCTTTCTGAGGAGAAGATTCTGACCCTCTGTGGGTCCCGTGAGCTTGGGAGAGTGATTAGAGGTCGTCTCTGCCATGTGGGATGGTCTACCCCCCACCCAGCCTGTCTGCCGCCCCTTCCACTCTCCCCCCGGCCCTTTTGGAGAAACTCAGTGGATTTCTGCGTTTCATCCTTGTGCCTGCCTGAACCCACAGCTGTCACCAGTCGTTCCAGATACCAGACAGGCGCAGACACTGTGTGGGTGATGTTCTGTGACTGTGAGCACGTGTGAGTGTCTGTAGCGAGGAGGCTGAGGATGGATGGGGGTGGGGACCCACTGCCATGGCTGCCAAGGGGTGGGCACGTGTGTGCACGCTGTGTGCACATGTGTGTCCGCTGCGTGGGTGGCTCCAGTGTGCGTGTGCGTGCGTGTGTGTGTGTGTGTGTCTGCCTGCTCTGTGGGCTGGCCTGGGTAGTGGAGCTAGGCCCGGGGAAACCTTTGTGTTGACTTTGAAAGGACATCATTGCAGCTCTGTCCTGTTTATTCTTGGCTAGTGGCTGGCTTCCTGTGATCATTTGCCTTTCTGACTCTGGGCCTTGATTGCCCTTCTGACCTTGACCTCTGGCTTCTTAGGGAAGTACCTTGAATGCACACACCCTCCTTTCCCTAATGAGGCTTGGGGGCTAGACCTGCGTGTTTAGCTCCCCTGACCTCGTGGAGTCCCGCCCTTCCCTTTCACGAACCTTTTCCGTTATGCCCCCGCTCAGCTGCCCAGGGAGCCCAACTGAAGAGCTGCCTCCTTGCTCTGGAACTTGGCACAGAGGCCTGTTTGGTGGGTCACTGTGGCTTCCCACGTGTGCTGCTGGCAGCCACTGCCTCCCTGACCGCCAAGGTGGTGTGTAGGAGGACACACTTCCACCACAACCGCTGGGAACTGGGAATCGCCCACACCAGTTACTTCCCCCAACACCTGCACTTCTCTGCCATCTGCCCGGGAGAAACCTGGCCTTTGTGGACCCCGGCAGCATGGTGAGCTGGGGCGGGGCGCTGGCGCTGTTCGAGGCTGAAGAGGGTCTGCATGTCTCGGTTCGAGGCTAGTTGTATTTGCCAGTTATTTTTGCTAATTGTTTTCTATTATATTGTCCCCTCTATGGATGGAAAGGAGGTGCTTGGAGGGGACCAGAAGCTTCTGGAGCTGGGGGTTGAGTAGAGCTTCATTTTCTAGATCCCCAGCATGCATGCCCTGTTCCTGGGGGGAGGACTTGGGGAATGGCAGAGGCCCAGTGAGGAGCAGAACGATCAGCTGCTGTGTTTGCAGGAATGTTCACTGTTAATAATTCAGTGTAAGTTTGGATCTGCAGCGAGACCACGAGGTCTGTGTTCTGTGGATCGCCGAGCAGTGTGCTCACGTTCCTGTGTGCAGAGGACACCGACGATGGCTTACCCCCATCACGGAAACTGCCTAGCCTCACAGAAGAGCTTTAAAAATCAGCTTCGTAGGCCTGGTCAGCGGCTTTCCTG